CCGCCGGCCCGGGACGTCCCCTTGTCTCTGCCGCGCGGCGCAAACGCCCTTCGCACAGGAAGCCTGCCTAGGTCACCCGACTGAAAGCACACACCTCTGAGTTCTTCGGGGCTGCAGGCGTGGCGCTGGGAACCTGGGCCGTCCGACACCGTGTCGTGTCGTGTCGTGTCGTGAGGTGGTCTTCTTTTGAGAAGTGGTTGGGTGCGCAGGCCCAGCTACTGTGCCTCCTCTCCCATCCGACTCAGAAAGTGAGTGTCAGACTTGACCTGGTGTGGATACCACGGAAAGCCGAAGGAGAGATGGACTAGTGTTTGGGTTCTTCGTTAATGCTGGGTCACACGTCTGAAGGAACACGGATGAGTCTAAATCTTCAGTAACAGGATGACTTGCCCTTCGGTTCTGGGTTTTGTTTTGTGTCCTCAGGTTTATAGCTACCCTCAGTCCTCAGGTAATGACTTCACATTTGTTTGGTGTCTGCTTAAGGAGAGTCAGTCACTTTCTTAGCAGGTACCTTCCTTAAAACCCTATTAAGGTGGGATAAGACACAATAAGGATTTTGTCTGAGGCTGCTGGTAGCACCACACTACATAATAAGCTTAATGTTCATTTACAGAAGCAAACCCAGGATATTGAAACATCGGATGTAACCTAATGCTTAAGTTTATATTTTGAACCCCAGGCTAAACTCATTAAGTACGTTTGCTATTAGGATATTTGGAAGCAGTGTTTTAAAGTAGCTGGAAAGGTGTTTGGTTAAGAATGGCTATCATTTGAATTCCCAGTTCCCTGGGTCTGAAACCATCAACCTATCATGAGAGTTTTAGACTTGTAGAAAATGGAGCGTACCTCCTCAAGTCTCAGGGACAGCATTTGAAAGCCAGTTAAACAAATCACAATGGGGATTAAACTTTCTTGTTACTACTACTAGTTCTGCTCTGTGCCAGGCACTGTGTAGGGGCTTACCTCATCTTACCTTAAATCAATTTAACATCACTTGGGTAAAAGTGCAGTGAGTGTAAGGAGAACATCTCTGTGGTGCAGTTGGCCAGTGCCCCTCAGTGCCTCTACCATAGGAAGGATCCCTGTCATAGTGCCCTCTCTGGTGGGTAGGCTAACTTCTCAGTGGCTGATGGGAGAATTTCTTCTTGAATCGTTAAGTATTTTTTCTTTGGCTTTGTTGTTTTGGTCTTCCCATTTCCTCACTTTAGCTTCATAACCTCACCTCTTCAGCAGTTCAATTAAAAAATATTTATTGGAAATTGCTGCCTGCCAGGCACTGTTAAGGGTTCTGGGGGTGCAAAAGTAAAGAGGATATAGATTTTTTTTTTGCTTTTCTCAAGCAGTTTGTGGTCTAGTGTGGGAGATTCAGTAGTAAAAGAATAATTACATTACAGTGTGATGAGTGCAGTAATAGAAATATGTACAAGGTATGAAGATAGGAAATAAGAGGCAGTGATTACCTGTTGGAAAGGATTCATAAAACATATGGACCTTGAACTAGAGTTTAAAGGATGAATGAGAGTTTTTCCAGGTGGAGTTGGCAGGATGGGGTGTTCCAGACAGGAAGAGTAGGAAAGGGGACGCGTGACATTTATATCTGGTGGTATATATGGGCAAAAGGTTGAGAATTTGGTATACTTCTGACATCTTGAATGGTAGAGGGCTTGGCTGAGACCATGTGGTGAAGAGCTTCATGCCCTTCAGTCAGTCCTAAGACACTTTGACTTGGACAGGATTTCAGATGATTACACTGTGGCCACTGGGATGACTTGTGATCTTTCACTGGTCAGATAGATTCTCCATTAGTGCTTACCAACTGAAACTTAATTATATGCTGAAATTATCTAGAGGAGAGAACATGCTTTTTGGAGTACCAAGTGGTGTTTATATTTGGGATGGCCCCTTCAATGTGCATCCATCCCTTAGGCAGTTGGTCATAGGAAAGCTTTTCCCTTTTCTGTTAAGCAGTAACCAAGCTCTGGAAGAAGCATAGCACACAGCTGAGTTGAGGTCTCAGGTGCCAAGTTATGGTGGCACAAAGTCCAAGATGTATGTGAAGTTTTTTGACCAAGTAGAAAAGCAGCCAGGGAACCCCAACGAGTATAATGTGTCAGAATGCTTTTTCCCTTAAATTGTAAAACCTCACAACACTGAACACTTGGAAACCAAGAAAATAATGAAAAGAAACACATTCCTTGCATATAACATTTTAAACATTGGTTACATGTTATTTTGGGCTAAAACAGGATTTTTCCCCCCTTTTTTCGTATTTCTAAAATCGGACGCCTTTTAGAAGCGAAATCCCTAGTAGGCTGTTGTTTTACCAGGCATGCTAAAGTTCCTCGAATACCATTAAAGATGAACCCAGACAATTGTGAGACATGTTTGGGCATTGTGTCATTGTGTTTAGTCATCTTGTTGATGCTTGCTATTAATTTGGTAAAAATACATTGACCTTACTACTTTTTACTGGCATTCATATGAGTTTTTAAATTAAAAATTAATTTTATTTCTAATCAAGGTTAAATATTCATGTAATTTTAAGGGTCAAATAATTTTAGAAAGGCCTGTAAGGGAAAAGTATCAATGTTCTTCCCCCAATCATGTTCCCTCTCCTGTAGAGGACCCACTTTAGCCTCTTGGTAATAGAAATATGTACAAGGCATGAAGATAGGAAGTAGGAGGCAGTGATTACCTGTTGGAAAGTATTCATAAAGAATATGGTCCTTGAACTGGAGTTTAAAGGATGAATGAGAGTTTTTCCAGGTGGAGTTAGTCTTTACCTCCAACTCTAAAGAGTATGTTCCTTTGACTTGCTTATTTGTATCCCCTCATCCCTGTTTCATACGTTGTCTTCACCAGACTGAGAATAGATACAAAGTTTCTAACTTTCTTTCATCCCTCTGCCTTCTCTGTACAGACGGATCCATGGCTGCCCAAAGTAGGTTTATCCTTAATTTGTTTAGCTCAGTATTTCGTGTTTATATCATGACTCCATAAGTGTCATTCACAGCTAGGCTAAATTGTGTAATGGGATTACTTTTCCTTCCCTGGATAACTTTTTGTTTTTTTTAGGGTTATTATGAGTCTTGTTTGCTGTTTCCTCAGTTTTCTATATATCTGTCACTAAAAGTCAACTCCAAATTCTCTACCAGTTGTCTAAATTGCCTTCAAGAAATTTAGTCATTTTTATCTGTTAAAATTCAGTATTCTATTCATTTCATCTTGAATAAACCTCTTCCAGTGCCTCCAAACTGCTGCAGTCTTGACTGCCTGGAATCTTCCTGCAAATCTCATCACTCCTTCTTGCTTTGGAGCCTTGGTTTTCTGGAACCTGTGTCCTCCTCTGTGTTGGATTTACTCTCCCTTTTTGATGGAGCACATCCTCCATTAATGGATTGAGAAAAGATGCATGGGCAATGAAGTTTTGAGACCCTGTATGTCTGAAAGTGCTGTCTCCTGCCCTCGCACCTGAGTAAGAACTTGGACAGCATTTTGCTCCTCTGTCTTCCGATGCTGCTGTTAAAGTCTTCAGCTATTCTGATTCTTGAGCCTTTGTATGTGACTCTTTTCCTCAGCAAAGTTTGAAGGTTATTCTTTCTGTGAAATTCAAAACACCCGGAACTATGGTGTCCTTTAGAGTCTGTTTTTGTTTAATCTTGCCTACTCTTTGGGCATCTTTATTTGGGAACTCATGTTTTTTAATGCTGGGCATTTTTCTTGATTTATTGCTTTGATTTCTTTCCGTTTATTTTCTTTCTCTTTCTAGAATTCTACTGTTGGACCCTCTGGATTGGCACTCCAGTTTTCTTAGGTTTTCCATTTTCTTTTTTTTTTTTTTTTTTCCAATTGTAAATTGACAAATTATAGTTGTGTATATTAAAGAGGTATGCAATGATATCGTGATTTATGAATACAATGTGGAGTAATAAAATTAAGCTAATTAATATATCCATGACTTTTTATTATCAAATACTTATTTTTTGTAGTGAGAGCATTTGAAATTTATCTTAGTGATTTCGAAATGTACAATATATTATTATTTATTCACCACACTGTGCAATATGTCTCAAAGAAAAATCTTATTCCTCCCGTCTAATTGAGGGCTCTGTATGCTTTGATTTTCCATTTTTTTCTGAATGGTAGTCTCAAATTTATCTTCTATCCCTTCTATGGCAGAGGGCCCTGAGCCTGTGGTCATGGCTTGGTGACTGTGGCGTTCACTGCAGAGATACCTGGCTGGGCCATATCCTTAGAGCACCCCTGACAGCTTCTTTGAGTCTCTTCACATTCTCCAGAGAAATATCTTGTAGCCTCTTGCCTGGCTGCCTGTGTTCAGGGGCCAAGTGAGAGAGAGGTCTGGGATTTCAGCAGTGACCACGAAGAGCTTACTTCCATTTTCAGAATGGTTTCTCACCCCCCCCCCCCCCCCCCCCCCCCCCCCCCCCCCCCCCACCCCCAAAAAACCCCTATTTTTTTTTTTTTTTTTATAATTTTAAAAAAAAAAGGCCC